TGTGACTTCGGTACCTGCAAGGCTGCAGTTGAGTGATGGAATGAGTCAGAGTTAAAGGGGCCACTGCGGCGGTTGAGACTTTTAATTTGCTTTAAAGACGAGATTGGGGACACGGAAGTGGCAGGGAGAAGAGAACTGACTTTTTTTCTTGTTGTTTTTAACTCAACTGAGTCGCCTTTTCAAAACACTGAGGATCTGAGGAAATAGTTATTTTTATCTCCACCCACGCTTAGAGAACCTGGGAGAATGACAGTAGATGTCTTCGAATGCACCTGGCAGGTTGTCACCATAGGGCGTTGCAGACGCTGCTATGTTTTTCTGCACGGATAATAAAGCTTCCCTCCCCCATTTAGCATCCCATAATTTGGGATGGAAAAACCCCAAGGTATTTTCAAATTCCTACTTCTACCTGAAAAAAAATTGTTATCTTTCTACTTTGCTCCCAAAATAAGCAGCCTAACCTACCTCAATTCACCATTAGAGTAAATAATGACCTGAAAGAAAAGCTTACAGTTGATTCCCAAATATGCCAATCCTTTCAGTTAATTACCATTTAATTATTCATGAATCTGCTGGCAAAGCCCCAAACTCCTAAGATTACATAATACTAAAATAATAAACCAGAGTTTACAGGCTGCAGTGACTGGCTTCACAAATCAAATTTGACTGTCAAAGCCAAATCAACTTAAGAATTTAGCCTTTACTCATTTAACCCCAATTCTAATGCTCCTATAAATGCTTTAAAACTCTATAGTAGTTGAGGTCCTGTGATATTAAAAAAAAAAAAAAACGTGAAAATTATATTGAAGTGAAAAATGCAACCATCAGAATTATCAAAATGCTTAAATTAAATCAGAAAATTAAATTCATCTGGAATGTTTTATATCCATTGTATTGTCAATATTTTGTTTCTTGTATCTGGTGAAATCCAAGTATGCTAATTTAGTTTTGATCCACCATTTTTCCTATGTACCTTCAAATAATTTCCACTGCACACATCTTTTCAGTCAACATTTTTCTCATGTTATTACTCAATTTTCATTCTTATTTTGAATTCAATGTTTCGATGACATCACCAAATACTATTCCTTTTATTGCTTTCTAATAGGAACAGATATGCTTTAAAACAGGCAGGTGGTGAGAGCAGGTACACAATCTTTTTTGCTTTAAAAACATGGGACAGACTGTTAAGATAGACCAGGGGTCCTCAAACTTTTTAAATGGGGACAATTCAAAGTCCCTCAGACTGCTGGTGGGGCAGACCAGCTGGATGGACGTGGCTAGGTCATGTGACTAGGTGGGCATGGCCAATTTAACAGTCCATTAAATAATGCACACAAATTAAACTTTAATTTCTTTTGCTCCTGGGAGTGTTTTATTTGCTTTTGTTTGCATGTTGCTCTTTTGGTTGACTTTTCTTTTTACTAGATCATTTTTTCAGTTGTTTAAGAGTATAGTGGTCCACTTCAGGTAATTCAAATTTTGCAGCTATTCTTCTCAGTCCCAAGGAGCTTACAATCAACAAGTCTCTCTCTGTCTCTCTGTGTCTTTCTGTGTGTGTGTGTGTGTGTGTGTGTGTGTGTGTGTGTGTGTCTTCCTCTCCTTCCGTCTGTCTGTCTGTCTGTCTCCCTTTCTCTCTCTCTATACTGGAGGTGAAAGAGATGAAAAACGGGGCCATTTTTCACCTCCCCTGCCTCCAGAAGCATTCTGCAAGCCAAAATTGTTGGCCTTACCTTCCAGTTCCAGCCTGCGGGGCTCACAGTCCTGCATTTGGCTGAAGGGGGGTGGGTGGGATGTGGGCGGGGCAGCCTCATGATCCTGTGTAGATTAATGGCTTCGGTGGGCTAGATGCAGCCTGCAAACTGTAGTTTGAGGACTCTTGAGGTAGACTTTTTTTAAAATCTGCAAGATAAAACCAAAAACTGCCCAAAGAAAACAGCAAAATCCAGAGCTCAAAAACATTCCATTTCCACAAAAGAGATGAAACTAACAATAACCCAATTTAAGTATTGTTTTTAAGCATTTTAAATATTTCAGATATAAATCAGTAACTTTTACCCACTGTATAAAGTAGTTAGTGAGTTATTCTGGAATGTGTTGAACTACTATCTAGTACTTCCCTTTTTTCTGATATATTGCTAACAGAAAAAATGTACAAGTACACATAATAAAACAACTTACATATATCATAATTTGTCATTTAAAATAAAATTAATACTGAGAAATGGGTATGTAACAAAAGTTTTGTACTTTAAACTGCACTTATCAACAAGTTATTTGTGAGGCAACCAGTAATAGAAGAATTTCCTGTGCTTTTGCAAATAGACAACTTTTGGTCTATTAGGAGCAGAGGTGGGTTGCTGCCAGTTCGACCAGGATTGCCCAAACCGATAGTAGCAGAAGCAGGAGGCTCTGCCCACGCACCCCAATGCTTCTGTGCATGCGCAGGAGCATCACGCGAGCGGGAGCGCACGCAAACTGGTAGTAAAAAAAATTAGCAACTCATCTCTGATTAGGAGATAAGAAAATCAGATTCCCTGCCTGGAAATACATTAAAAAGTAATCAACCTTTTTATAAAATGGATCATATAAGAAGAAATGGTTTACCATCTTGATCACACCAGTACCACAAATGGTTCGTTCAAAAATTATCTTCTGATATCATTTGTCACTAGCACTGATTGAAGTAACAAAAGTTCTATAATAATTCAGCAAGGTGATTTGGGAAAGGCAAAGCTGTTAATAGCGAAATCTGCATACAAATTGTTGAAAAAAGTATGTTAATTGCTTACTAAACCTGAATCCCAGCTACTCTGATTTTTCTTTTGACATTTTTAGAAGCTAACATAACAAATACTAGAGAAAAATATTAAGCTTGAGTTTCTGCTCTCCAGTTCTGTTCCACTAAGTTTAACAAACAAAGAATCAAGTAGTTGGTGTTGCTACTTGGCATGTCCAAAATTACTGTCATTCATCTCATAGGAATGCAGCCTGCCTTAACTATAAAAAGACAGTTTTTCTTGAGCTGTCAGCATTCGGCTCCTTCAATAGTCCAGATGTTTCTCCTCTTACTCTTCATATAAATTTATTTCATGAAAGAATGATGCAACTGTCCTTACTGGAAGAAATGAACTATTGTTCCCTGATGCTTTTCCGATTTGTTCTATGTGATAACATATTTGTTATATTAGTCTTGAATTTTTCAGATGTACAGTGTATATACAAACTAAAGGCTTTGAAATCCAGTAAAAGAAAAATTAGGGTACTGGACACTTGAAAGATTTCACCAAAAAAGAAGTCTGGCTAATAAATATTAATATATCAGCTCAGGATTTTCAACCGAAAATTGTAATGAAATAAAATTATGCATAGTAATTTCCATATTATCTACTGAAAAAATACATTTCACACGTATCAAATTTTAAACATTTTTATTTTTGTAAAAAATAAATATTTTATACACAGAGGCCATGAAGACATTTTACAAGAGTACACTTACAGTTAATTAATTGTGATATTTAACCAATTTAACAGTACAAGGAATAGTACAATTTGAAAGCTACTTTCAAATCTATCACATACAGAACATAAAAGGATGTACTTTAGTAAAATACAGGCTCTATTTTGACATAACTCAAAGACAACTAGAAAAACAAATATCATAACTTAGCAAGGTATACAGATCAGTCAGCCAACAGAAATGTATTTATCTCACTTGTTTTCTACTTCTACATTGTTTAGATGGCTCATAAAGTTAATACCTTACTTACAGCAATCAATGCAAGCGGGGGACAATTCTAGCAACTTCAAATATATGCATCACTTAATAGTGTGACAAGCACTTTTTATGATTACATTCAGTGATGGGATTCAATTTTTTTACTATCGGTTCTGTGAGTGGGGCTTGGTGGAGTCATGTGACGGAGTGGGAATGGCCAACTTAACATCACGGCAGCTGCCACCTCTTTGCCAGCCAGAACTAAACCGGCAGCAGTGGCTGGAGGCTTCTCGCTTATGTTCATGCTTATCTTTGGTGAGCAGAGCGGGCGAGGCACGGAGGCAAGGGGAATACCTGGGCCGCATAGGGTGGGGTGGGAGTGGGTAGTGAGAATGGGCAGGTGGGGCAAGTGGCAACAAGTGTGTGGGGGTGGGGCCAGCCAGAGGTGGTATTTGACGGTTTGATGAACCAGTTAAAATTTTTGTTTCTGGTTCGCCTGAACCAGTCCAAACCATCCGAATACCACCTCTGATTACATTAGTATAAATATGAAGCTTATATTCAGATTTAAATTATCTGCACTGTACTAAAGGATACCAGAAAGGAATCCTCACAAAAATAATTACATGGTACAGATCAAAACAGTATAAAAGATATATTGCTCTAATCTTTTTGCAGTCCAATTGATCAATCACTGTTTAAATGTAACAATTATTTTGATGTAGAAGAGAGAGAGAAATGTATAACTGTATATCAAATGTATTAGAACTGAACATTTAATAGTCAAAACTATTGCCTATTATTGGAAAAATAATACTGTCCATGTTTAAGATGTAAATTAAAATACAATCAATTAAAACCTTCAAATTTTCAGACATGCCCAAATATGCTGCAAATATTTAAGCATCTGATTCCACTGTCAATTTCATTTAACGTTTTTGATATATTGACAAATAATTGATATTTATCCCCATAAGCCTAACAAATAATTGATATTTATCTATTATAAGTCTGATAAAAATAGTGTTGTTATCTGAATTTCAACATATTCTGTTTTAGCATTTTACCTCTAAGTCTAAAATGTTAAGTTTGCCCCATTCATAAAATATTGCAACTTACTACTATATTGTCATTTATCAGCCTTCCATCCTTCCGAGGTGGGTAAAATGAGGACCCAGATTGTTGGGGGCAGTATGCTGACTTTGTAAACTGCTTAGAGAGGGCTTAAAGCACTGTGAAGCAGTATATAAGTCTAAGTGCTATTGCTATTGGGGAGATTTCTTAAAGAAATAATTTCAGAATTCAATAGAATTTAAAAAAAAAATTAAAACGACAAATGCAAAAATATTCTTGTTTTATCATATTCACAGAATGGACTGTTTGTTCCTTGCTCTAATTTCTGTTCTAATTGCTGCAAACAGAAATACTTTTCCTAAACTTTTCATATTTTATGTATATTCAGTTACGCATTACAATTCTATATATCTGTCACATTGAATGCAGTTTATTAAAAGTCCCACTGTGGGAAACTGTTCATTTAAGAAGTAGCTGAATTACTTGCAGCATTATGGCACATCAAATAGTATGTGCCTCTGTCCCTCAAATGAAGATTTGAAGCAACTGCAGTGCTCTTATGAGCTCATATTTTTACTGGAAATGAATTAAGAAATAATAGCAGTGTATGTATGCATGTGCGTGTGTATGTATGTGTGTGTGTGTGTATATATGTATGTATATATGTATGTATGTATGTATGTATGTATGTATGTATATATTTTTCAGATGTTAGAGAATCTTTTTACAGTAATACATAAATTCAGAGCCTATAGTCAAATCATACATTATGCAATTAGTGCACATTTTAAAAATATTAAATACCATTAAAGTTGCACTGCAAATAATTATCATCAACGCTCTGACATCCTCAGCACTTCAGAAATTCAAAACTTCATTCCACCAAAAGCTGTACACTATCAGTCTGTTTCTGTGGTTGTTGCTGGTGATCATATTTCCTTGCTAGAAAATAAATACATTTAGATATTAGGATACAATCCGAATGTATTGCCGAAAGTGATCCACATAGAATTAATAGGGCTTATTACCAAATAAACATACACAGGATTGCTTTCTAAATCTTTATTGAGTGATAAAATCTTATGTTGGCGGAAATAACAAACTGCAGTGTAAGTCTATCAGTTTCCAATACAATATTCTGGACCAAAGTTAATCATTTCGCACAAGTACCAAATGTTCATTTTAAATCACAGGGAGTTCTTTCGCTCGATACAGAATTATAGCAAATCATAATAGCAGCAGTAATCCTAAGAAGATCTTCAGCAATTATAAACTATATAAGAATTAAAAATATATAAATATATATTTTAGTTGGGGCATCAATCTACTACTATTGGTAGGTTTCATTTTAACAATATACATACAATATTTTTATATTTTCGGGAAAGAAATAAAATAGTAGCATACCTATTCTAAGAACCAATAAGGAAAGCTACTTACATTTTAAAAATCACACTGCTTTAATTTTGTAAACTGGAATTTGAAAATCGGCTTTCACATAAATGTAGGTAGAAAATAGACAAAAGTATCTTATATTGATTAAGTGAACTGGTCATATCCTTAAATCAATCTGTTTATATTAGAAAAAATATTTCTAGACCTTTTTTATATGGAGGCACAGTTAAAACTTCCAATTAATTGTTTAGAGCTTGGCTTTATACAAACCTCACTTAACCAAATAACATAATTGGGAAGGACCTTTCAGGTCCTCTAGTCCAGTGGTCCCCAACCCCCGGTCCGCGGACCGGTGCCGGGCCGTGGAGTACCTGGCACCGGGCCGCGCAGTGACCGGGGGCCATGATCACTGTTCCCTCTAAGGTGCGCGCCTGCGCGGCCGCGCACGTCGCAAAAAAAGCCCACGCAGCAGATTCTATCTGCCGCGCAGAGTTTTCTGTAAAGCAAACGTGGGGAAGTCCTTTGCTAGAACTGGCCGCCTGCAAAGGACCTCCCCAGACTTGTTTTGATGAGCCGCCAGTCCTCTTGCTTCTTCTCCTTCACCGGCAAAGCTCCCGCTGGCGTCCTGCCCATGGCAGTGGCAGTGCCTCTCCCTCCAAGCGGAGCACCTGAGCTGGCTCCCGCGTTATCCCTCCCCCTTCCTCCTCTGCCGTGCTTTTGAGGCCGCGGGAGCTAGTAGGAAAGCAGCGGAGGTGGAGGCAGGGATAACCCAGAGCCCAGCTGAGGTGCTCCGAGTGGAGGGGGAGGCACCACCGCTGCTGCCATGGGTGGAGCCGCCAGCGGGAGCTTTGCCGGTGAAGGAGAAGAAGCAAGAGGACTGGCGGCTTTGAAATGCAACCCCCTGGTCCCGCCGGCCGCGGATTTGATTCGGCATAAGTGGGGGCCGAACGCATGCTGAGCTGACTTTGCGCAGTGAGGCGGAGTAATTCAACCCCCCCAAAGAACGTGTGTGTGTGTGTGTGTGTGTGTGACAGAGAGAGAATTGGATCAAAATTGGTGGCCAAAGGAATGGAGGGAGGGAAGGAAGGAAGGGAGGGAGGGAGGAAGGAAGCCTTGCCCCCCTGTGAAAAAAACTGAAAATGGAGCAGTGAATGAATAAACCATAAAAGCAACAAACAGTTAATGCGTAAGTAAGCTGAGGAGCAAGTTCTCAACTAAGGAAGCAATATAAGAAAGAAATATAAAAAGCTCAATATGCCAAAACACTTATTTTAGTCTTCATTTAATTACTTGTATTGTAGTCTGATGAACAATCTTTTAAAGTTAACGTTAGTTAGAAAAGATAGGGTACAAAACTTAAATAATAAAAAAATTGTACATTCATTTTGAAAAATAAATGCAATACTTGATTAATTTCATATCTTTATTTAAAATAGTTTTGGCATGGCATATGATTTTATTGACTCAGTTGGAAATGATGTGGATGTTGTATCTGATTCTGAGGTATATATATTCTTAAGTAACATAACATATAGCATATTGTCCAAACTTGCTAGACTATTTAATTGATCTTACTACTTTAAAGGGGGAGAGTTTCATGATAAATTATTTTATTACATTTATGTTGCATTTATATATTATATTTATTACATTTATATTCCACATTATACGCCCCTCACCCCTGCGCGCGCTCAGCGGGCCACGGTAAAATTATCAAAGGCTGACTGGTCCGCGGCGATAAAAAGGTTGGGGACCACTGCTAGTCCAACTCCCTGCTCAATCTCTTCTTAAAAACCTCCAGTGATGGAGCACCCACCACTTTTCAAGGCAGACAGTTTTACTTATTAATTATTGTCACCATCAGAAAAGTTCTCCTTATTTCTAAGATGGATCTCTCCTTGATTAGTTTCCATCTATTGCTCCTTGTCCTGCATTCAGTTACTTTGGAAAATAAGTTGACCTCTTTTTCTTTCTGGCAGCCTTTAGATATTGGAACACTGTCAGCATGTTACCACTAGTCCTTTTCCCCCCGAATTTTTTTAAATCTTTTAATTTAACATCAGTATCTACATGAACAGTATATTGTCTGGGTACCGTTCATTTTAAGAAATAGTAATAATGATAATAATATTCATAACTTTGATGGTGATCATATATTAGTATTTGCTTGTCTATCTTAGTAAGCCTTCAGTTCATCTTATTTTTTTTTACTTTTTAAACTCACATAATAATCATCTTCTAATATCTACTTGTATATAGTAACTATAATAACTTCTATCATATGACAATATATATAATATTTTTTCATTAGACCAAATACACCCAATTCCAGCAATTGTTCTTCATATACTTTAGCCTTCAATCACCTTATAATATTTGTTTCTCTTCTCTGCACTCTCAACGACATCTTTTTTATATTGTGATGATCAAAACTGGCTGCAGTATTCCAAGTGTGTTCTTACTAAGGCTTTATAAAGTGATTTTAACACTTCATGTGATCTTGATTCTATCCCTCTGTTAATGCAGTGTAGAACTTGGCTTTTTTGATAACTGCAGCTCACTGCTATCTCATATTTAAGTGACTGTCCATTGGGAGTCCTAATTCTCTTTATTACTACTATTGAGCCAGGTATCACCTATTCTACATGTTTGGGGGTTTTTTTGCCTAAGTGTAAAACCTTAGTTTTATCACCATTGAATTTCATTTTGTTGGATAGAGGCCCAGGGTTCAAATTTGTTAAGTTCCTTCTAGAACCTGAACCTATCTTTTGAAGTGTTAGCTATTCCTGCCTCCTGGTGTCATCTGCAAATTTGATGAATTCCCCTTCTATTCCCTCCCTCATTTAGATTGTTTATGAAGTCATTGAAGAGTACTGGGCCTAAAAGAGAACATTAAGGTACTCTCCTGCAAACTTCCTTCTATGTGGTTGTGGCTTCCATTAATAACTACATGTTTAGTGTGATTAATCAGCCAGTTATGAATTCATCTGATGATGCAGCCTTATCAATTTTTTCTATGTTACAAATGGAAAGCTGTGGTCTACTTTATCAAATGACTTACTAAAATCTAAGTATATTATGCCCATAGCATTTTACTGGTGTACAAATTTAGACACTTTTGTCAAGAGGTATAATAGGTATTGGCTGGGATGATCTATTTTTGACAAAAAATAGACATCTGGTTTGTTTGTCCCTAGGTATTTGCAGATTCATTGCTTATCTTTTTTCAGGATTCCCCCAGGTATTAATGTCAGGCTGATAGCTCTGTAGTTTCCTAGATCCACCCCCCCACCCTTTTTTTGAAGATGGGAATTATGTCAACTCTTTTTGAATCTTCTGGTAGTTCCCCGGTCCTCTAGCATTTTTGAAAGATGGTTCAGTGGTTGAGATTTTGTCTGCCAGCACTATCAGAATCTGAGATGTAATCTGTCGCCACCTGGTGATATTAACTCATTTAGAGTGGATAGGTGTTATCTTACTGTTTTCTGATTTATATTCCTAATCTTTCTTTTTCTGTACTGTTTTTGAGAGGTTGGATTGTTTTTCCTTTTTGTGTAAAGATAGATATAAAAAATGAGTTAAGCAGCTCTGCTTTCTCTCTGTTGCCGGTCACCTGCTTGCCATCTTCTCCTGTTAGTGGACCGATCATTTCCGTTACTTTTTTCATGGTTTTTTTTTACATCTTGAAAGAAACTTTTTTAATTGTTAAAATTCATTGCAAATCTTAGTTCATTCTAAGCTTTAGTTTTCATCTTTGCAGTTTGGATTTGCTGATATTATAAGCCCCCCTTTCTACTTTTTTATATTTGTCCTTTTATCAGAGAGGTTTTTGTGCAACCATGATGGTTTCTTCAGGAATCTCTTATTTTTCTTCTCCAGTAATATTGTTTTATACTAGGTTTTTATAACTTCACTTTTGCATTGAATTCCAATTGAGCTTGCATTGAAGTCCAATATTGTCTAGCCCCCCCCAACCTCATTCCTGTAATTTCAACCCTTCTGTCATTTCATCTCTGTTAGTGAGAACTAAGTCCAATATGGCTGACTCTAGTTTCTTTCAATACCTTTTTTTTGGGAGAAAAAAAATTGTCTGCTAGGTTTATCAGGAATCTGTTTGATCTTCAACTAGATGCAGAGTTTGTCTCCCAGTTAATGTAAGTGTAGTCAAAGTCCCCCATTCCTGTTGTGTGCATCCTGTACACTGTTAACTAATTATAACTCAATGTTTATTACAGCCAGAGACCAGACACCAGACATTACAGTCAAAATTAAAAACACTCAAGGAATATGCAATTAAAAATTCTAGAATAAAGTAATTAATAACAAATAAAATCCATATTAAAACCACAAGTATTGGTCTGTCAGTTACACATGAGAAAGTCACACATGTCCTAACTATACTATAATACCAATCCTTAAACTGTACCTATAGTCATTAAATACTAAAATACAACAGAGTTGTATTAATTGAGCTGTATTAATTATGTAAAACAGCTATGATGGATTAATCATGTGTTTTCAACGAATCCCCAATGCTGCTGTGCAGA